AAAAAAATTTTTTTTTTTTTTTTTTCCCCCCCCCCCCCCCCCCCCCCTCTCTCAAGTTGTAACTCTCGATCCTTGTCAATAATATACTGGTTATTGAAATTCTTGATCTTGACAAATATTTGATATGGTTTTAATTTTTCATTCCTTTACCTAAGTCAAAAAATATTCGTTTATTTTCCTATTTTCTCGATCTAAGCTAAAATTCTCTTATACAATATCTTGACTTAGAGTCGAGATTCTAGATCTCAATTGGATTTTCTAATTTCATTAGACCAAGGGGATCTTTATATCTATAGAAGAATACATAAAAAATTGGTGCTAAAAAGTGAAGGTGTCTTATCGTTTTCCAATCCGGTTTAATGCTATTTGTGTCAATTTACTTCACAAAAAATCGAAGTCCACTGGTCCAGTCTATTTGGATCCCGGTTCACGTAGTCCATCATAAGAATCTGCCCAGTTTGATTGGTGTTAAATTTAGGCAGCCAGTGTGAGAACAGGCCCATACAACCGTTTCCGACAACGACGACGAAGGAAAACGACCAGAACATCCTCCGTCGGCGTAGGCTCAGGCGCCATCGGTTAAGAGAGCCATATTCAATTTACCGAACCTGAATCCGATTCAAAACCTATGCCTGTTTATCGGCCCACTCTGGCTCCGAATCTCCCTGCTGAAGCTCCGATTCCTGAAAGGTACATATCTAAGCGGCTAATTTACAAGAACCAAACCCGCCGCCTCCTTTCAATTTGCAACCATGTTATTTATTTATTAAATTTTCTCTCTTTCTTTGGGTCTTTTAAAGTACATTTCATTATTCATTTCTTTAGTTGTTGGGGTTTGCAAAAGCTTGGATTTTGGAAATAATTGTTCTAGGAAGTGTAATCACTGGCGACATGTGGACATAAGTTAGTGAATAAGCGATCTTGAGTTTATTTTTAAGTTGTTTAAAAATTAAAGAAGAAAGAAATATTAAACCGTACAAAAGTCTCAAACTTGAGTTCTACACTCTTTAAGCAATCTTGAATGATCTTTTACCATACTGAATCTAAGCCTAACTCTAGAACTCAATGAAGTTAAATTTCACTTTATACATCTTGGTTTTATAAGCTGCTACTGCTGCTCCTGCGGCATGAGAAGTAATTTCGGGAACGTGTGAAGCAAGATGGATTGCCGGCATTCTCTGGCAAGACTTGTCAAAGTATAGTGAGCAACTCCACTAATATTACTGTGATGCTTAAATTACAAATTCAGAATGTGTTTGCTGTTAGGAATTAGACCGCTACTAATTCCGTGACGATGAGTGAGACATAAAATAATTTAAACGGAGAAGAAATAAATGGAGCAAAAAATTAATAAGTACAAGTGACACAAGAATTTACGTGGTCCGGCAATTGTGCCTACGTCCACAAACCCACACCAATTTTTTACTATATCAACAAGAGAAGAAAAAATACAACAAATACACTCTCTGTATTTTATTTGCCTATGCAAAGGCAATCTCTCAATTTTCTTTCGTTAATTTTCTACACAAACTAAAGCCTAACTGCTTCTTATTTTTGTATTTTGCTCACTATCTCTCGTGTTTTCACTTACCACCTTTCTTGCACTTCTCTTTGCACATCTATATGTTTGTTCCTGCTTTGGCCTCGTATTTATAGTGAAAAACGTGTCACCCTCATTAATTGCAAATCCATCATTTTCAACAAAGGCAATCTTTCATTAAATGCATGGCAAAAAAATTCTTCCAAAAATACGGCTGCAGGGTTGCAAAATTTGTGAATCCTAAGACTTAGGCTCTATTATTTCAACAATCTCCCACTTGGAGACTAATGTGGCTTCACCTTGAGACATCCTGCGAGCAGTTCCATATTGGTGTGGATCACCTTCATCGTCTTCATTTTAGAAGGCCAACTGTAATTGAACACAACTCCAGTTTTTTCGTAGTTACCGTCTTAGTTAACACGCCAGCTGGGTTTTTGCTGCCCTGGATCTTTTCCAATGTTAATACTCCATCCTTCAAGAGAGATCTGATGAAGTGATAACGAAGACCAATGTGCTTCGTTCTCAAATGAAATGCTGCATTCTTTGCCAGATATATAGCACTCAGACTATCACTGTGCAAAACATTCTTTTCCTGCTTGAGACCCAATTCTATCAACAGACCTTGTAACGAAATCATCTCTTTGCTAGTTTTGGTTACGGCCACGTACTCTGCTTCTATAGTTGATAAAGCAACAATCTTCTGTTTTTGCGAAACCCAACTCACTGCAGTAGTACCAACTGCGAATACATAACCGGTGGTGCTTTTCCTGTGATCGATCTCGCCAGCAAAATCTACATCTACAAAGCTTTGTAGTGCCAACTCACCTCTTTTGAAACATAAACAATTATCAATAGAACCCTGTAGATATCTTAGTATCCACTTCACTACTTCCCAGTGCTGTTTTCCTGGATTGGTCATGAATCTGATCACAACTCCCACTACATGAGGAATGTCGTCTTGTACAGACCATGGCATACATTAAACTTCTAATGGCTAAGGCGTATGGAATATTAGCAATGAAGTTTCTTTCGTCTTTTGTTTTTAGAGACTGGTCATTTAATAGACGGAAGTGATTAGCCAATTGCGTGCTAACTGCTTTTTCATTGTTTATGTTGAACTTCTGCAAAACTTGACTAATGTACTTGGCCTAGAATAGCTGTAAAGTGTCTTTTCGCTTGTCCCTACAAATTCTCATCCCTCGAATTTGTTTAGCTGGACCCAAATCCTTCATTTCGAATTCTACTGATAATTGCTTCTTTAATTTCTGGATTTCGTTCATGTCTAGTCCCACTACTAACATGTCATCAACATAAAGTAGCAAAATAATGTAGCTAAGCTTCGGCCTATTAAAATAGCAACAATGGTCAGCATTGCACTTGTAGTAGCCATTTTTCTGTATAAATTCGTCAAACTTTTTGTACCACTGTCTCGGAGCTTGTTTTAAGCTATACAAGTTTTTTTTCAATTTGCACACAAGCTTCTCTTTTCCTTTAATTGAGAAACTCTCTGGTTGCTGCATATATATCTCCTCTTCTAGGTTGCCATGGAGAAAGGTAGTTTTCACATCTAACTGCAACCCCCCTGTTGCAACAATACTCAAGACGAATCGAATTGTTGTCAGCTTTACTACTGGAGAATAAATCTTTGTGTAGTCAATTCCTTCTTTCTGTTGAAAGCCTTTGACCACCAATCTTGCCTTGTATCTCTTTGATCCGTCATGTTCCTCCTTGACTCGATAGACTCATTTATTATGTAGAGCCTTCTTTTCTGCAAGCAACTCAACTAGCTCCCACGTTTGATTAGAGATAAGAGACTTTATCTCATCTTTCATTGCAAACTCTCACTTAATCGCATCTTCTCCTTGACATGCTCATCATAGCATTCAAGTTCACTGGCACCAGTAAGTAACAGATAATTTATGTATTTTCTGTTTGGAATACGTGGTCGGGAAGATCTTCTAGGAATAGGAGTTGGAGACTTTGGTAAAGTCTCCACAACAGCTTCCTCTGGCTGAGGACTCTCATCTGTCTATTTTGACATACTACTACTTGGAGTATCGTCCAACTCAACATATGTTGGATTTTCATGTAAGTCACTAGACAGTACTGTATCTCTGTCTTTGTACATCACCCTTTCATTGAATATGACATCCCGACTTCTAATGACCTTGTTGTTCTTATCATTCCAAAAGCGATACTTGAACTCATCACCACCATATCCAATGAAGGTACACTTTAGTGATTTGGGGTCAAGCTTACCCTTAGGTTGATCACTAATATGTACATATGCGACACAGCAAAAAAATTTCAAATGAGAGTTTTTTTCTTTTCCATTCCATACTTCCTCTAGTATCCTGTACTCCAAAGGCACTAATGGCCCACGATTAATTAAGTATGCTGCTGTGTTGATAGTTTCAGCCCAAAATTGTTTAGGCAAACCAGCATGTAACCGCATGCTTCTGGCTCTTTCTGTCAACGTCCGATTCATTCGTTCAGATACACCATTTTGTTGCGGTGTTCCTGGCAACGTTCTTTCTAGTTTGATACCATTTTGGTAACAAAACTTTTTGAAATCAGTATGTTCGTACTCTCCGCCATTATCTAATCTCAATTTCTTTACTCGCAAATCGTTTCATTTTCCACCATAGCTTTCTACTTCTTAAACATCTCGAACACTTAGGATTTTTGTCTCAAGAAGTAGACCCATACTTTTCTGGAATGATCATCAATGAAAGTCACAAAATAAGACTTTTCGCCAATAGATGGAACTGCAGCTAGTCCCCAGACATCCGTGTGGACTAACTCTAGCTTTTCCTGCTTCGGAGTTCTGCCACACTTGTTGAAACTCACCCGCTTCTACTTCCCGAAGATGCAACTCTCACATAGGTCTGCATCAATAGATTGAACTCTCGGTAGTTTCCCTTTATCATGCATGTACTTGAGTCCTTTCTGACTCATATGCCCCAGTCTCTGGTGCCATAGATTCGGATCTTCATTTGAAGCAGTAACTGCAATTATTCTGCAGGCACTCATTGTGGTGTAAAGAGTACAATTTTTCTTGCCTCGTGCTATGGTCATTGCACCCCTAGAAACTTTCCAAATATCACTGTTGAAAGTTATGACATAACCTTCATTTGATAATTGGCCCACTGATATCAAGTTCTTCCTCAAGTTTGGAATGTGTCTGACATCCTTCAATTTCCATACAGATCCATTAAGCTTGATCTGTATTTCGCCTTTGCCGACTACGTCACAAGGTTGATCATCACCAAGATATACTTTTCCAAGATTTCTTGGTTCATAACTCGTAAAGAGTTCTCTATTTGAGGTAGCATGAAAAGATGCTCCAGAATCTATTACCCACATTCTGTTTTGCTTTCCAAAGAGCATACCAAAGCATCATCAGATTTTTCTGCTACAACATTGGCTTCGATTTTGTTTTCATTTCCTTTCTTGAAAACTTGACACTGATTTTTGTAGTGTCCGGTCTTGCCACAATTCCAACATTCAACAACTTTTAATTTGTTGAAATTCTTTGGATATCTGGATTTTGATCTGCCAAACCTTGACTTGCTCCTGTTATGCCCTTTACTTCTGTTTGAACTTCTGCCTCTGCTCCTGGATGTTCAAAGTGGCTTCAGAAGTGGAAACACCTTTTGTCTGTCTTGTATTTCCTCGATCAAGATCATACTCATGACATCTTCAAACTTCAATATGGACTTTCCAGCAGAGCTCCTAATTGCTGTAACCGTGCCATTCCAACTCTTAGGCAGCTGCCCGAGAATCAACAAAGCTCGAACCTCATCACTAAACGTGATTTCGGCCATGTTTAACTGGTCCGTCATTTCATTGAACTCATTTAGATGTTCTCCAAATCTTTCCCCTTCCGTCATTTTCATAGTAAATAACTTTTTGATTAAATGAACTTTGTTTGCTGTAGATGGTTGTTTGTACATGCTAGACAGGGCCGCCATGAGAGATGTCGTTGTCTTCTCATTTTTTATATTGAAAGCAACTGAATTTGATAATGTCAGCCTTATTGTGTCGAGAGCCTTTCGATCAAGTAATTCCCACTCGTCGTTGGTCATGTCCTCCGGCTTTTCGTGAAGTGGTTTATACAGGTTCTTCTGGTACAAATAGTCCTCCATTTGTATCTTCCAAAATCCAAAGTTTGTGCCATCAAACTTATCGATTTTAGATATCTTCTCGTCTGTTGCCATTTCTCCCATTTAAATTTTAGAGCTCTGATACCAGTTTTTAGGAATTAGACCGCTACTAATTCCGTCATATCAGTAGGACGCAAAATAATTTTAACTGAGAAGAAATAAATGTCGCAAAAAATAATAAGTGCAAGTGACACAAGAATTTACGTGGTTCGGCAATTGTGCCTACGTCCACAAACCCACACCTATTTTTTTACTATATCAACAAGAGAAGAAAAAAATACAACACACTCTCTGTATTTTAATTTTCTGCACAAACTAAAGCCTAACTGTTTCTCACTTTTATGTTTTGCTCATTGTCTCTAGTATTTTCACTCAACACCTTTCTTGCATTTCTCTTTGCACATCTATGTGTTTGCTCCTGCTTTGGCCTCGTATTTATAATGAAAAACTTGTCACCCTCATTAATTGCAAATCCATCATTTTCAACAAAAACAACCTTTCAATAAATGCATGGCAAATTTTTTTTTTTCCAAAAATACAGCTACATGGTTGCAAGATTTTTCCATCCATATTGTTTTGTCAACAGTTGCTACCACCTTTTGACAAAATGTGTTGACACACATGAAATTTTATGAAGCCTAAGACATAGGCTCCATTATTTCAACATTTGCATACCTGAAACTCCTGCATATTCTAATCTTTAATCTGCAGTCTCCTTGTACGATTTGGTCTGAAGTGCAAGTTTCATTTGGTTTATGCTATTAAAAAAGTATCAACCTGTGACACTGACATCTTTTCTTGAGCTTACATATATACATTTGAATGCCTATAATAATAATAGAAAAAAGGTGGCTTAAAGGCCCTAAACATGACATCTTTTTCGTTTTTCTCATCTTAAATATATCTCAATTGAGGATATACCAAAGCCCTTCTGGTTAAGATATGTGTAGTTCGCTACGTGCAGTTTTCCTCCAATTGAAACGCTATTTCGCATAACACTTTCTGTCTCATTTAACATTGAAGTTGAAAACAGGAATAAGATATTTTCTCATTAACAATGTACAATACATGTGTCCTATTTATAGAAGAAGGAAGGAATAAAAGAAAGGAAAGCAAATCTCTAATGAACATACAATAGTCTATCTGAGGAAAATAAAACCTTCAATAATCTCTCTTATTTTATTCTAAATTAATTCAGAATTTCCAATACTTCCCCTCAAGTTGGATCATAAATTTTGATCATATCCAATTTGGAGATGAAATCATCGAACGGTAGTTCTTTGGTGAAGACATCTGCAATTTGTGTTTGCGTTGGGACATATGTCATACAAATAGGTCCTCCTTCAACTTTTTCTTTAATAAAGTGTCTGTCCACCTCTACTTGCTTAGTTCGATCATGTTGAACTGGATTAAGAGAAATATTGATTGCTGCTTTATTATCACAATATAGTTTGATTGGCAATTTCATTATGATATGTAATTCTTCCAGGAGCTTTTTTAACCACAGTCCTTCGCACATTCCTTGTGCAACAACTCTGAACTCAGCTTCAGCACTGCTTCTTGCTACTACATTCTGGTTCTTGCTTCTCCAAGTCACCAGAGTTCCTCACACAAAGGTACAATAACCAGTAGTTGATCTCCAATCACCAATTGATCCTGCCCAATCTGCATCTATGTAAATTTTTGGAGAGGTGTTGCAAAGTTTAGGACACAACTAGGCATTCGATTGATTAGATAGGTGGATGTAAGGACCGCATCCCCCCAGAATATTTTTGGCATGTTCGTAGTAAACATTAGGGCACGAGCAACTTCTAGAAGATGTCTATTTTTTTGTTGGACAATCCCATTTTGTTGGAGAGTGTCAACACAAGAGCTTTGATGAATTATGTCATGAGAATGCAAGAAATTTCCCATGATGTTATTGAAATATTCTGTGCCATTGTCGGTGTGTAAAATTTGAATTTGTGTTTGAAATTACGTTTGAATCATAGAGTGGAAGTTTATGAACACGGACCGAACATCGGATTTTTCTTTTAATAGATATACCCAACAAATTCGAGTATTATCGTCGATGAATGTAACAAACCATTTTGCATTATTTCGGTTTGGGACACGTGAGGGCCCCCATACATCACTATGAATCATGGTGAAAGGCTTTGATGGTTTGTACGTGGATTTTGAGAATGTCGTACGTTGATGTTTTGCAAGTTCACAAATTTCACATTGAAGATTGACTGATTTTTTATTCCAAAAAAATAGAAGGAAAGACGTTTCAAGTATTGAAAGTTGGGATGATCCATTCTAAAGTGCCATAACATAATTTCACTATTTATAAAGACAGACGCAGAATCACAAACTTTAATTTGACACTGTTTACTCAAATCAGCCTCTTCAAAGTAGTAGAGTCCTTCACTTTCCTTAGCATTGCCAATCGTCTTCCCCGATGATAGATCCTGAAAAACACAGTAAGATGGAAGGAATTTAGCAGAGCAGTTGGAGGTTTTTGTTAACTGGCTTATGGATAGTAAATTGCATGATAAATTTGGAACATGAAGAACAGGTTCTAAAGTTATAGAATCGGAAATTTGAATACTCCCTTTTCTTGCGACAGTAGATAGAGAACAATCTGCAATCTTAACTTTAAGATTGCCAGCACATGTTGAGTACGAAAAGAATAAGTGGTAGGAATCCGTCATATGATTAGACGCTCCCGAGTCAATGATCCAGGGCGTTTTAGTTTGAGTGATGGATTTTAAAGCTCTCAAAAAATTACCTCTGTGGGCGAGTGAACTTGAAGGATTATTTGTGGAGGTTTGACTTGACGGTTGGAGAGTAGCGAACATTTTGTAAAGTTGCTCCATTTGCTTGGGATTGAAAGCACCACTGGAACTCTGGGTATTTTCTGTAGAATAATTGATAGATGCTTGATAACCATGATTTCTATTATTTTGCCTCGATTTCCAATCGGTCAGCTTTCCGTGTAAGTCTCAACGTGTGTCTTCCTTATGTCCTGGCTTACGACAGTATTCACACCAGGGTCGACCCTTTTGTTTTGAGCCTGACCCAACTGCTAACCCTTTTTATATAAGCCCATTCCGCCAGGCCCAACATTAGTTGTAGCCTCGCTTTGAAGTTTTGATGGATCCACATTTTAAAGATTGGAGGCCTATTATTTGGAGGCCCATTCCCTTTCACAACCATGCCAGAGCTTTCGATCCTCGACGTTGCAGACTCAAACACGCTGGTTCCATTCATCATAACCTTCTGTTGGTTTTCCTCTCGCCTTACCTCCGCGATCACCTCTCGTGGTGATGGTAGTGGCTGTTGACCGAGGATTCGACCTCTAACATTGTCGAGGTCACGGTGAAGCCCAGCGAGGAATTCCAAAAATCTCTCATTCTCCAGCTTTTTCCGGTAATAGGCGCAGTCCTCAGGGCACTTCCACTTCTCTTCCGAACTCAGATCGAGTTCTTGCCAGAGCGCAGTCATCTCAAGGTAGTAGTCGATTACATCCCGTTCTCCCTGCTTGGTTTGCCATAACTTCAATTTAATTTCAAAAATCTAGGAGGAATTTTCAGAATCCGAATAAGTCTCTTTCACAGCTTCCCAAACAGCTTTTGCAGTAGGTAGAAACAAGTATGTCTTTCCAATTGTGGGCCTCATGGAGTTGATGAGCCACGCAGTCACCTTGGAGTTCTCCGATCTCCACTTTTGAAGGAGAATTGTGTCGGTTGAGGTAGGCATCTTAGTCTCTCCAGTCAGGTACCCAAGTTTGGCTTTTCCATCAATAATCAATTTGATAGATTGCGCCCATTCTCTATAATTTCGTCCATCCAATTTTTCTACCATGAATTGAAAGGATGAACCTTCAATTCCTCCACTCACGGCAGAGGTAGCCTCCGTTCCTTCATTGAAAGATTCAGATGTCATTGACCCTGTGTTGGTGGTGGCAGTTTTTGTCATTGGAATGGCTCTGATACCATGAAATTGAAAACAGGAATAAGATATTTTCTCATTAACAATTTACAATACGTGTCCTATTTATAGAAGAAAGAAGGAATAAAAGAAAGGAAAGCAAATCTCTAATGAACATACAATATTCTATCTAAGGAAAATAAAATCTTCAATAATCTCTCTTATTTTATTGTAAATTAATTGGGGATTTCCAACAAACATATATAATAATATATAGTGCAACGCCCCGAATTCTCGAAACCCGAAGCGTTAAAATAATATTCGTTTCTTTCTTTGGTCCCCTTTGACACTAGCCAAAGTATTTTATAAATCCAATTTTTCTTTTAAATATATAAAAATATAATGGAAGGTAGTTATCCATATAAACTTAGGCGAATGTAGCAAAATTTGATTTTGTAAAAGATTTGAAGGTAAATCGACAATTACGGATTTAACAACAACGAAAGAAAAATATATTTAGCCTAGCAAATGTCTATTAAAATTTATGAAATTTTTACAGGGATTAAAGCATTCATATATGTACCACATATAAAAATTTGGGGTTTCGACGATAACGTTTGAAGCACAAAAATATTACTCGAATATGCTGGACAGGGATCTCGGATTCGACACGACGCAATTTATTAAAACGGACATAACTTTTTTTTAGATAATATTTTTGAGAAATTCCAAAGGCCACTATTAGAAGACTCATAGACCTTTCAAACCCCACTAATATCACTTAAAAACATGCACCGTAGCCCAAGTTATACAATTTTCAAATAGGACAAAATCTGAAATTTAACCCAGCATAAATTTAAACTTCATACATATTCAATCCAACACTTCTAAATTCTAGTTAACATGCATTGTCTATGAAACTAGACAAAATAAACTTTAAAACATTTCTAAAAAGTGTCATCTAAGTATCCATAAAATGTTTACATAAATGGAAATATTTACTAGAAATTGAAAGCATTAGAGATCGCCGAACACTTGCCACTATGCCAACAACTGCCATGTCTCGATCTTAACCTGTAAAATTATTTGTAGGGATGAGCGCTATAAAAAAAATACTCAGTAGGAAGCACTTAAGTAAACGGTAAAAATATATATTTTCAGTAATGTAAAATTTATTCGATTATGTCACCGTCAATTTCAAGCGAACTGGTGATCAGTCAGCCTGCTTACTTTTAGGTTTTGATAACCCCCTTTCATTTGTCATAATCATATCTTCATATCTTGTATAAACCACCAAACGGTGATTCCATCGTGAGTAACACAATAAGAAGTTTCACGCAAACAAAAACATATAAATCTTAAATCACATAAAAAAGCGCCGAAACACCCCTACCTTAATGTTTGGAGTTTGAATATCCTTTTGTGTCCAAAGGAATAAAACGCAGCGTACTTCTTGCCTTTTCTTTAGAAATTTCAGATTTAAAGTACTTTATGTTGATGAAAGAAAAAAGGCGAAATAACTTTATATAGGAGTATAATAGTTTGGGCGATAAAACATGGCTAAAGGAGTTGAAATTGAGAAGGTGGCTGAGCATGCCATTCCATTTACACCAGAATTCTGTGTCTGTGCATGAGAAAGAGATGGGATTATAATAAAACGTTGCTTATGCGTGTGAGTTGGAGACTTTTAAAATAAAAGGGCAGTTTTAAATCAAATTCTAAGTAAAGTCGCGGTAGTAGATGTATTAAAAAAAAATGGAGGTTACACTCGAGGAAATGGGAGTGGTGGTTGTATTTAAAATTGGAGGTTACAAAAGTATGTCGGGAGGTTAAAATTTAGAATATTGACTTTCAAATGGATATTGAACAGGATGTACAGTAGCCTCCAAACGCAATAGCAATTGATGATTATGGTGGTTAATGGTAAGTTGGAATGGTAGTTTTATAAATAATATTTTGGACCATAAAAAAAGACAAAAACTTCCAAATTCAAATAGCAAAATGGGATAGGGACGTGCCATTATAATCCTTTGAATTCATATGGCAGTTTACGGGTATTAAATTGGTTTGTGAGATAATCAAACACTAAATGGTAGTTTTTCATTAAAAAAAAAAAAAAAGGAAATGAAACTGATTGGCAAAGCAGTTAATAGGTTTGGAATTTATTAATATGCAGGGGGGGTGTTGTGGCCTTTTTGAAATGTTAGTTTTCCAACAATGAGTATGGACGTGCCTTTAGAAATTGTGGGTGGTTATGGTTTTGAAATGTTAATCTTCAACGGATGAACAGGGCATGTAACTTCCCAATGATCAAATGACAAAATTTTTATTTATATAAATATATATCTTTTGATAGTTATTTTCAAATAAAATGGAAGTTTATTAAAATGGTAAGCTGGAGTATAAATGATGGATGATGAAGCATGCAAGTAATTTGTCCAAAAAAATAAAATAGTTTATATAATGGAAACCGAAATGGTAGTATTAAAATAAAGTGTGTCGTAAGAAAAATAATGTAACCAAATTATCATAAAAAATTTTTGGTTAATAGCGATTTTAACACCCTGTAAAATTTAAGAAAATCAAGTACGCGGAATTTTACTATTAGGAAGTGTCGTAGTGACATAATAATATGACCCAGATTATATTTGAGTCCTATAAGGAAATTTTATTTTGGAATGAAACGAAACAATTTTTTTTCCGGTCGCTACAACTCTCCCCACTTAAAATAATTTCATCCTCAAAATTTAACTTACTTGTTTTAAGGAGATCGAGATACTTGGCTAAAATGTCTTCTTCTCGTTTCCAAGTAGCCTTATCCTCACCATGTTTACTCCTCTGGACTTTGACTAGTGGAACCTTTCGATTTCTCAGGACATGGTCCTTTCTTTCCAGGATTATTGCAGGAGTTTCTTCATACGTCATATCACTCCGCACATCCAGTGATCGAACATTTACCACATGATTAGGATCCGAAATGTACTTTCTCAACATAGAAATGTGAAATACGTTGTGCACTGCCGAAAGCTCGGGTTGCAATGCTAATCGATATGCCACATTCCTAATCTTTTCAAGAATCTCAAATGGACCGATAAGTCTAGGGCTTAGCTTCCCTTTCTTTCCAAATCGTAGTATTTCCTTCATTGGTGCCACTTTGAGAAATACTCTCTCCAATCTCGAAAGTCAATTCTTTTCTCCTTTTGTCAGTATAACTCTTTTGACGATCTTGGACAGTCTTGATTCTTGATCTAATTTTATATATAGCCTCCATAGTCTTCTCGACCAATTCTGGGCCCAAAATTCTCCTTTCACCAATTTCATCCCAGTATAATGGCGAACGACATCGTCTACCAGACAAAGCCTCATACGGGGCCATGTCAATAGTGGCTTGAAAGCTATTGTTGTATTCGAATTCAACCAACGGCAAATGATCTTCCCATTTACCACCCAAATCTAGGACGCGAGCTCTCAACATATCTTCAAGAACTTGTATAGTTTGTTCAGATTGTCCGTCAGTCTGAAAATGATATGCAGTACTAAATGTTAACTTGGTACCCATAGCTTTCTGAAGACCTATCCAAAACTTCGAAGTAAACCTCGGGTCTCTATCTGAAACGATAGATGCTGAAACACCATGAAGTTTCATAATCTCCTTGACATAAATTTGTGCAAGCTGTTCTAAGCTGTAGGTTGTCTGAACTAGCAAGAAATGCGCAGATTTTGTAAGTCGGTCCACAATAACCCAGATCGCATCATGACCTTTCACTGATCTAGGAAAACTAATGACAAAATCCATTGCAATCTTTTCTCACTTCCATTGAGGTATGTCCATGGGGTTCAACAGTCCTGACGGCCTCAAATGTTCAGCCTTCACCTGTTGGCAAACCATGCATTTGGACACGAATAGAGCTATCTTCCCCTCAATATTTCTCCACCAAAATGTATTACACAAATCTCGATATATTTTAGTTCCACCTGGGTGGGCGGCGTAAAGAGTTGAGTGAGCCGCAGTCATAATTTCATTTCTCAACGCTTCATCCTTTAGCACGCACAATCGACCCTTAAATATCAAGGTTTTGTCTTCGGCTATTTCAAATCCCTTCCTCTTCTCAGTTCTTACATCAGCCTTGATATTTTCCAAAAAGGGATCATCTTTCTGAGCGGCTACTATTCTGTCCCTGAGTGTCGGTTTCATAGTAAAACTTGCTAACTTTGCCGATGTCCTTATTGGTGACGTTAATACTTCGATTCTCAAGTTTTCAAAATCTCTTATTAAATGATCTTATCTTGTACACAGTGCTGACAAGTGGCCCATGTTCTTTCTACACAGTGCATCAGCAACTACATTAGCCTTACCCGGATAGTACACGATAGTGCAGTCGTAATCTTAACTAATTCTAACCACCGTCGCTGTCTCATATTCAACTCCTTTTGGGTGAAGAAGTATTTGAGACTCTTATGATCGGTGTAGATCTCACACTTGCTCTCATATAAGTAGTGGCGCCAAATCTTCAAGGCGTGCACTACCGCTGCTAGTTCAAGGTCATGCTTTGGATAATTTCTGTTCATATTGCTTCAACTGCCTCAAAGTATAAGCTATCACTTTTCCATGTTGCATCAAAAAACACATCCTAAACCAAGCTTGGATGCATCACTGTAAATCACAAAACCTTCTGAACCATCAAGAATAGTCAAAACCGGCGCAGATACGAGCCTGTCTTTTAACTCTTGAAAATTTTGTTCGCATTTCTCCGACCATACGAACTTAGTACTCTTTCGAGTCAACTGTGTCATAGGACCTGCAATCTTAGAGAATCCTTCTATAAATCGCCGATAATAGCCGGCTAACCCTAGAAAGTTCCGCACTTCTCCAACATTTGTAGGTTTCGGCCAATTTATCATGGCCTCAACTTTGGATTGATCCACTTCAATTCCTCGTGCTGAAAAGTATGGCCTAGAAATCTCACTCGGTCAAGCCAAAATTCACATTTCTTGAATTTGGCATACAACTTGTCCTCACGCAGGGTTTCCAAAACTATCCTCAAATGTTCTTCGTGTTGCAGGGAATCCCTCGAGTATATCAGTATGTCGTCAATAAATACAATGACAAACAGTCCAAATACTGATGGAACACTTTATTCATCAAGTCCACAAACATCGTAGGGGCATTCGTCAAGCCAAAGGGCATCACCGTAAACTCATAATGCCCATACTGAGTCCTAAATGCCGTTTTTGGTATATGACCGACTTAATCTTCAGTTGATGGTAGCTTGACCTTAAATCAATTTTTGAGAATACGGATGCGCCCTTCAACTGATCAAATAGGTCTTCAATCCTAGGAAGAAGTTACTTATTTTTGATCGTCAACTTATTCAATTTACGGTAGTCGATGCACAGCCTCATAGTACCATATTTCTTCTTTACAAAAAGTACTGGAGCTCCCCATGGAGATGCACTCGGTCTAATAAACCCTTTTGTCTAGAAGTTCTTCTAGCTGCATCTTTAACTCTTGTAATTCATTTGGTACCATTCGATATGGAGCTTTTTTTTTGGACACAGGAGTAGCTTCAGGTACCAAATCTATCGAGAATTCCACTTGTCTATTGGGCGGAATACTCGGTAGATCATCGGGAAACACGTAAGCTTACTCCGTATTATTGGCACATCATCCAATATTTTCTCTTGAGATGAGGTGCCGATAAGATACCCTTGGCAGTCAGGCTTCCTCAACATGTTTTTTGCCTTCAAAGCTAAGATGACGCGAGGAAGTGCCTTAACCTTCGATCCATAAAATCTGATTTCCTCCTCCCGATCTTTGAAAAATTACCTCTTTCTCAAAACATACTATCGTGGCTCGATTTTTACCTAATCCATCCATGCCTAAAATAATATCACAGTCTTTCATCTCTATAACGTACAAGTCAGCCTCTAACGCTAGTCCATCAAAATTTATTTGTACCCCATCAAAATTTATTTGTACCCCTTGTGCTATCCTATCTGTATCAATAGTTCCTCCTGATGGCATACTAACCTCTAGTACATTATCGCCCCTAGGGCATATCTCCCAGTGGCAAAGGGGAGGGCGGATAGGGCTCAGCGCGGCAGTGTGCAGAGTTCGATTCCCCGCAAGGTGGAATTGGCTTTGTTGCAAGCGGGAGTTATCATATGGGTTAACAGCCTTGGCCTATCCATGTGCTCTCCACCCTGGCTCCTGGGAGGCACATCCTGCGATTTACCTCCTCCACGATGGCCCAGGCCAGGGTCGGTGGGGGTCCTTAAGGTTGGGGTTCAACCTCTAGTACATTATCATTCTTCTTACATGAAGCATTAATATTAGCTAGACATGCATTAGATATGAACGAATGTGTTGCACCGAAATCAATAAGGACATAAACTGGAGTACCAGAGACGGATAAAATACCTACGAGTACGTCCGGATTTTAGGCAGTCTCGTCGTGAGTCAGAGCAAACACCCTTGCTTTTCCTTTCTTCTCTTGTTCAGGTTTCTTAATCGATGGACATGAGAAAACCACATGGCCAGGTTGGCCACACTTATAGCAAGCATACTTTCCATACAGACATTCCCCTCTGTGAAACTTGTTACACTTAGGTCATTGGGATGGAGGATTACTTGACTGGCCCACAAGTGTTTGCTTCTTAAACTGTCAAGAATTCTTATTCTTATCCTGCCACTTCCTTTTTCCAAAGTCATTACGCTGTCCCTGATTTACCAACTTCACCCCCGAATATGTTACTATTTGAGCTTTCTTCACAACTGCTTGAAAAGTGGTGAAATCGTGTGAACTCACAATCTGCCTAATCTCTGGGCGTAGGCCTCTCTTGTAACGTTTAGCCTTCATGAGCTCAGTACTTACAAGATGTGGGGCATATCGGGACAATTCCTCGAACTTGCTCTGATACTCGAAAATTTCCATATCTCCCTGTATCAGTCTTAGGAATTCTGCCTCCTTATAGTCTCGTAGAACTTGTGGGAAAAACTTCTCTGTTAGCACCATTTTGAACTGGTCCCAAGTTAAATTACGTTGTTCTTCCTCGGTGCGAGTACGTGATGAGGATTCCCACCAATGGGTTGCTCTTCCAACTAGCATAAACTTAGCACATGATACTTTTTGATTTTCTAGACAAGAGATATGCCAAAAGATTTTCTCAATAGTACGTAACCACTCTTCAGCTGCCAGAGGGTCTTTCCCTCCACCAAAGGTAGGGGGTTGATATCTGCGAAATTGTTCTACCGTCGGAATAGACGGTACATGTAGATATGCTAATGGCACTAGCGGTGCTAGTGGGATTGGTGGAGCTGGAGGTGCAGCCTGAGCAACCAAGGCCTGTTTCAACTCATCAATCTCTCGCCTTAGTTCCCTAATTGTCCTTGCTTGCGCCATAGTCATATATACCATCATAAATGTAATCTCATTCAGAGAAGTCGAGAATACTTGCACAATATAGGGAAGAGATTTATAGTTGAGAATCTTTTATTATCATCTAAATAGAATCCTTTAACAGGAATACAAAGTAATAACAGAGCATCTGACGCTAATCAACAAGAAAACAAAAGGAATCCAACTAGACATCAATAACAACTAAACCTAATAAAATCTACTGAAATTTTGATCCTCTATTCATCGTCGTCACTAATCCAGCCTCCATGAACCCTAGGTTTCTTAGAAGGCTGTGCCTCGTCGTCTGAAACAGGTGGAGGTGCATCATCATGAACGTACATCTCAGTAGGTACACTACCGTCCTCAGGGATCGCGAGTTGGGCCAACTCCCACTGATCAATCAGCTCCATGCAAAAAGGCCTCATAGTTAATCTCTCGAGGCAAAGTAGGCACAGCAATACCCCATAAATAATCATAAATCGATTCAGCAGTCTTCAGCCACTCTTCTGGCAAGGTATCAATAAGAAGGCGGGTGGCTCGACGACCAATGACCATATAGCCTAGTTATCTCACCTCTCTCCACCTTACAAGTATCTCCCAAATGTGCTCACGCATATTGTACGTTGGATTCCACTGGTACTCTTCGTACTGTCTCATGATCTCACATCGACAAGGCATCAATTAGCGGGTATCTAATAGGTTTTAGTTAATTCTCGAGGACTTAAATAAATATTTAATATGGTCACGTTCTCAAAATACTTTGCAAAATAATGATTATTCACAAAAGGTATTCAACTCAAACATGCATTAATATTCATAAATACATTTCAAATGTTGTATCAGAAATAACTATTCCATAATCATCACATAGATACAAGCATAACCATAAAACTTTCTTTACCTCAAAATCGGCATGACGCGACTATGGCGGGCATAGTGCTTAAGATCCTCATTAAAAGTTTTAATCAACTTTATATGTTACACAACATTCCTAAGATATGGTTTCTATTGCAAGTCTACAGAAAAATACCCAGGCTCTAATATCAAGTTGTAACGCCTCGAATTCTCAGAACTCGAAGCGTTAAAATAATATTCGTTTCTTTCTTTGGTTTGACCCCTTTGACGCTAGCCAAAGTATTTTATAAATCCAATTTTTTTTTTAAATATATAAAAATATAATGGAAGGTAGTTATCCATATAAACTTAGGCGAATGTAGCTAAATTTGATTTTGTAGAAGATTTGAAGGTAAATCGACAATTACGAATTTAACAACAGCGGAAGAAAAATATATTTAGCCTAACAAATATCGATTAAAATTTATGAAATTTTTACATGGACTAAAGCATTCATATATGTACCACATATAAAAATTTGGGATTTCGACGATAACGTTTGAAGCATGAAAATATTACTCGAATATGCTGAACAGGAATCTCAGATTCGACACGACTTAGTTTATTAAAGCGGGCATAACTTTTTTTTTAGATAATATTTTTGAGAAATTCCAAAGGCCACTATTAGAAGACTCATAGACCTTTCAAACCCCACTAATTTCACTTAAAAACATGCATCGTAGCTCAAGTTATACCATTTTCAAATAGGAGGACAGAATCTGAAATTTAACCCAGCATAAATTTAAACTTCATACATATTCAATCCAACACTTCTAAATTCTAATTAACATGCATCATCTATGGAACTAGACAAAATAAACTTTAAAACATTTCTAAAAAGTGTCATCTAAGTATCGATAAAATGTTTACATAAATGGAAATATTTACTAGAAATTGAAAGCATTAGAGATCGTCGAACGCTTGCCACTACGCCAACCACTGTCATGCCTCGATCTTAACCTGTAAGATTATTTGTAGGGATGAGTGCTATAAAGAATACTCAGTAGGATGCACTTAAGTAAATGGTAAAAATACATATTTTCAGAAATGCAAAATTTATTCGATTGTGTCACCGTCAATTTCAAGCGAATTGGTGATTAGTCAGTCTACTTACTTTTAGGTTTTGATAACCCCCTTTCATTTATCATAATCATCTCTTCATATCTTGTATAAATCATCAAACGATGATTCCATCATGAGTAACACAATAAGAAGTTTAACGCAAACGAAAACATATAAATCTTACATCACATACAAAAGCGCTGAAGCACCCCTACCTTAATGTTTGGAGTTTGAATATCCTTTCATGTCCAAAGGAATAAAACGCAGCGTACTTCTTGCCTTTTCTTTAGAAATTTCAGATTTAAAGTACTTTATGTTGATGAAAGAAAAAAGGCGAAATAACTTTATGTATGAGTATAATAGTTTGGGCGATAAAACATGGCTAAAGGAGTTGAAATTGAGAAGGCGGTTGAGCATGCCATTCCATTTACACCAGAATTCTGTGTCTGTGCATGAGAGAGAGATGGGATTATAATAAAACATTACTTATGCATGTGAGTTGGGGACTTTTAAAATAAAAGGACAGTTTTAATTCAAATTCTAAGTAAAATGGCCGTGGTAGATGTATTAAAAAAAATGGAGGTTACACTCGAGGAAATGGGGGTGGTGGTTGTATTTAAAATTGGAGGTTACAAAAGCAAGTGGGGAGGTTAAAATTTAAAATATTAACTTTCAAATGGATATTGAACAGGACGTATAGTAGCCTCCAAACTCAATAGCAATTGATGATTATGGTGGTTAATGGTAAGTTGGAATGGTAGTTTTATAAATAATATTTTGGACCATAAAAAAAGACAACAACTTCTAAATTCAAATGGCAAAATGGGTAGGGACGTGCCATTATAATCCTTTGAATTCATATGGCAGTTTACGGGAATGAAATTGGTTTGTGAGATAATCAAACACTAAATGGTAGTTTCTCATAAAAAAATAAGGAAATGAAACTAATTGGCAAAGTAGTTAATAGGTTTGGAATTTATTAATATGCAAAGTGGGGGTGGGGGGGGGGGTTATGGCCTTTTTGAAATGTTAGTTTTCCAACAATGAGCATGGACGTGCCTTTAGAAATTGTGGGTGGTTATGTTTTTGAAATGTTAATCTTCAATGAATAAACAGGGCACGTAACTTCCCAATGATCAAATGACAAAATTTTTAATTATATAAATATATATCTTTTGATAGTTAACAACAAATAAAATGGAAGTTTATTAAAACGGTAAGTTGGAGTATAAATGATGGATGTTGAAACATGCAAGTAATTTGTCCAAAAAAATAAACGCGGAATTTCACTTTCGTGACCAAAGTTTAATTTGGACTATTAGGAAGTGTCGTAACGACATAATAATATAACCAAGATTATATTTGAGTCCTATAAGGAAATTTTATTTTGGAACAAAACAAAACTTTTTTTTTTTCCCGGTCGCTACATATAGAGAGCAAAAGGTTTCATGGGTATAATTTGTCATGGTTAAAATAATCAGTATTCAACCGAGAAAAACCTTCACACACTGAGAACAAAGGTATAACCTTGTATAACTAATAATATTTAATTTTTGTGAATTTTCATTAAAAAGCAATTGAAGCATGGGACATGATTACCATTAGTTCAGTTCTCTGTATTACTGACATTGCAGCTACCTAACTTCTCCACATGCTCTTTTTTCAACATTTGTAGGAAGCCTTTTAGACTCTGATCTACCATATAGTATTTTGACAACATTGAGGCATCAAATAAAGGGTGGTGCACGGACAGCCCAAATTCCTCACACGCTTTCTATAGCTCTCAATTGGCACACTAAGTCTGTAACACTGTACAATGGTCTGGAACTCATGGTAAGTATTTGATGCAGCTAAACTTGCTGTTATTTTCTGCCCAGATATTTGCCTGGTTGATTTATCAAACCTCGCTGTTTAATTACATTAGGCAAAGCACTAATATGCTTGAAGGTTTAAATTGATAGAGGTCCCTCTTATATATGGAGATGTTTCAGAAACTTTAGTGGTGAATTTTTTCTGGAGACCCAAATAGCTCTAGTGTTGTACAGTTTAGTGGCATTGACTTGTATATTGGGTGTCTCATGGAATGGGTTGGACGTTACCTGGTATGTCCCATGATGATGGTATCCTGTCATTAAAACTTATTGAAAGAGCAGTATAGTTAAAAACCAATTCTGGTAGCTCAATGCTTTCGTGTACTGGATAGTTGTCGTACATCTTTAGTGAAAAGCAGCAGATATGGTTTACTCTAAAAATATATTCTTGAATGCCTAATTGAGTAGCTGTTTAAGCTTTCTTGTTTGTTAATTGTAGAGCATCACAAGAAAAGAACGCTAGAACGGAAAAGAAGATAGAGAACAGAGGAGAAAGAAAGCTAAATCCTTTATAAGTAGAGGGGAAAGAGTTGTTAACATGCATTTTCAGAATGAAGAAACTTGGAGGGAAATATGCTGAGGAAGTGCGTATTACTGACAATGTGGGTAATATGAAGGGGAATCAAGATGAAGAGAAGTGGTCTAATGAGTTCTTTAAGATAACTATGGAACTTTTTAATCATTTAAGCTGTTAGACAGGTTCAGAAAGCTAAGCTTATGAAATATCTTTTAATCTCCGAAATTCCTGCTATTTACTGTTTAGATTGATTCAATATTGGATCCAATATTAGTAATGCGGTTTGTTTGATCTGTTGGAATATATTTGTTATTAGCTGTTGTTCTTGCCTTTTTGATTTGTTTTATGAAGCTAGTCTTCAGCTCATCTTCTTGCATCTGCTGGAATGGATCATACCATCTGTGTATGGAATGTGTGGAGTAGAGACCAGAAAAAGCACTCGTGTTGAATTTTCACAAGGCAGCTGTGACAGACGTGAAATGGTCACAGCAGGTACTACTTATCCTCTATTGTGGTTACGACTGTGCGTCAAGATTAGTTGATGTTGAAAAGGGGATAGAAATTCAGGTTTTCAAGGAACATCAAATTGTAAAAGTTAAATTCCATCCGCACAACTTCAACCTTTTCCTGTCTGGTGGGTCAAAAGGACTCCTAAAATTTTGGGATGTCAGGAGTGGCAAGGTGAACCACGAATATGTAAGGAATTTTGGTCCAATCCTTGATGTAGAATTCTCAGTTGATGGCAAGAATTTAATCACCTCGAGTGATGTGTCCGAAAGCAATCTGAGCAAAAATTCAATCATTGTTTGGCATGTTTCCCTCCAAATTCCGTTATCCAATCAGGTAAATTCATTATATGTCCTCTGGGGATAAGCTCAGTTTTCAAATAATGAAATATTAAAAGGTAACTGCTTCCCTGTTTTCTATAGGAGGTTTAACTACCTTCCCATCCCCATCCCCATCCCCACCCCAAAAATAAAAATAAAAATAAATAAAGGGGTAAAAGAGAAAAAACTGAAATAACCGAATGATCCGAAATGATTTTTTTGTGCACTTCAGAATATTAACGTTGATTAAGAGTTGGAGTAACGGTAGTTAGACATGTTTAACCTGAACTTCCTGGTCCTACATATAAAAGAAATTGATCTAAATTTTACTCAAGGTTGACTTCTCATGCATTCAGTTCTGTGAATACCCACGAGTCAAAAATAGTTTTCCTTGCGCTGAATTTATAACATAAAGAAGATTAATCTGCTTCAAAATTGTGTCATCTAGCTAGAAATCTGGTCATCAATTTGTTTCAGTCTTAGTCTTTAATACAAGTTCGGATTATGTTGTTTAACTAAATGTGCAAACAACACAGTTATAAGAATTTGGTTTAAGCGAGGCCAGAAAAGGAATCTAGTTCTGGACAAGACCCCCAAGATTGCTGAAGTTGCCAGACAGAATCTTGTTGTCAATATCTTCCTTACCATATGTTATGGCTTAACAACCTTCATATATGCTTCATGGTTCCTTTGGTTCACCATTGTGTTAAAAATGTAAGTAAAGAAGGCTGTAGTCATGGAAGTTAAAGATATTGTAGGAATGGCATGGCATCTACAAAAAATGGATGGTGTACGAGATTCAATGCTATGTTGTCAACTATAGATGATAATGTTAACAGGGGCTGAAGGACGACGGATAATTGTGCATGATGAACCAACTTGTTCTCCATATGGGAAGATATACCCCTTTGTTTCTTGCAGGGATCTCAATCGATAAAGTGTAAATGAGGCAAAGAAAATATATTAACAATATTCAAGACGTAAAATACTTACAAGATTTTATTTTTTATTTTTTTATTTTTTGGAATTTAAATTGTATAAGCAAGAAATTTCATATTTTGTAATTGAAACATATTTAAATAGAATATACTTAAAAATATTGACCCAGAACATAATAAAGGAATTCAATAATTACTCAAATTTATAGAAGAGTTGATGGTACAGGAAACATGCAATTTGAGCATTCAAAGTATGAGAGAGTTTATAGATATGGAAATAGTGTTTGGGTATTATTCTCGGAGTACAGCTAGATTTGCTGGTTTGGAGTATCTTGGAATGTTGCTAGGTTCTTAGACTCAACTGATGATGGACTTTTATCATCAAAAAGCTTACCACTCTTTGCAATTACGAGAAGTGGTAATTGATTTTACATTTTCAATTTGAGGTCTAGAGGAGCCTTGCTCATGTACTCTAAATTGACCCTCGGGATTAGGTTGTGGTTGGGTTAGAAATTTCCCCTTCCCCTGAATGCTCAAAGAGGATGTCAATGACTTGTGAAGTTTGGTTGTTGATGGTAGTTTTTTCCTTGCATAAAAGCATGCAATGTCTCTTTAATGGGTACATAATTTTCATTCCTCCAACTAAAATTTGGCCAACTCTTCCATCCATGATGAGCTGTGGTTGAGTTGGAAATATTCCTTTCTCCAGAATACCCAAAGAGGATGTCAATATGGTGAGATTGGTTCTCATCTCATTGATGGCCTTTGAGTTTTGGTTGTTAATGGTATTTGTCCTTGGCATAATTGCAGGCAATGCATCTTTTAAGGGATTTTTTTTTTAAGTGGAGCCTATACTAGTACTTTGGGTGGATGATCCCTCCATCAAATGAATTATAGGTTTCAAAATATGGAGAACAGCAGATGGCCCCGTCTTTTTCGTAGTATCCATGGAAGCAACTTGTTCACGCAAAACCTCTTTAAAGTCTAGAATGGGGAGACTCTCATGTGTAAGGTGACCGTGGTTACAAGTTTTCTTGCTAAACAAAGGAAACAACCTTAGCCTAACCACTTAGTCAATCAAGATTGGGACTTAATAAGATAAAGGCATATTTGGATGGGTATTAACATTTATGTTCACTCTATCTTGTTGCTTTGATTATGCAGCTAATTCATGTTTTAGACAGAACTATGGTTGTATTTACCGTCTGGTCCAATATGAGACGTTAGATTTTGTTGAAGTTTGTAAAATGTTACTTTTCAGGTCTATACATTACACAATTTTCAAGAACAAACATGTTGAGTTTATCATGTGCCACTTATTTTGTAAGTGCCAATTGTTGAAGGTGCATTTTTTATTTGGAACTGTACATTTGACCTCTCAAAGACAAAGCCTTAATCCCACCTACTAATATCTTAATGACGAAGTTTTCAAAAAAGTTTTAGCAATTTTAAGAAAAATTGATGAAATATGTTATTAAAACTAATTATTGACTTTGATTTTAATTTATTATTATTATTATTATGTTTTTAACTACTATGAAAAAGTATTAAAGATGCGCCACATTTATGTTATTGTTGGCCTCTATGATAGTAGAATCAATGAGAGACAATGACTTACCTTGCAGCGTATGTTAGTAATTTGAGTTTGCTTATCTCTAACTTGCAAATTTAGTTAATACAAAGTTATGTGATAACAACCTATTATTCCGATTAAGTAATGTTATTTGTAGTCATTTACTATGGCAGTCGTTCAACGTGATATATATGTGACATGTGGTTATTTGATGCATTAATATGATATGCTACACAGAACAATTGTCATAATGAACGACTATAAATAGTGTTATTTTTTTTTCGATTTGACGGCTTTAATAATGATTCGTTATTCATGGTAGTTGAATCGTCTATTCAGCTCTATTTGTGATGTCATGGTCTTCTAAGGTTGAAATTCAAACGAGAAAATACTTTTTGGAGAATACCTAAACATCCAGAGACGAAGAAACTCGTAGTGGTTGACTTTGATATTTCTATACCTGTAATTGAAAGCACTATCAAGACAACCCAACAATTTTGCCATATGGCAATGGTCCACCACCCTTTTAGAAATGTTTGTAATGGAAAATATGGTAATCCCTGTTCCAACACAAAGGAAGAAACACAGTGATACAACCTATTTGCCTATGTATGTTTAAACATTTTTCTCTTCAAATATTGCATGAATGTGTCCCCCACATTCATTGGCCCAATTCTTACTAAATCTTTATCATTTTCATAAAACCCATAATTTTAATCTTCAAAGTGGGGAAAGAAATAACTTTAAAAAGTAAACAAAAATAAATATATGAATATCCGTCCATATGACTGCAATCATCTTGTAAAAGAGAGAGACTTTTTAGATTACACTTCGATGGTCAAGATGGTGTTGGCTCTAATAATGGGCCCACTGGTTTGCCCAACCGGCGACATGAAACGATGGGCTAAAAGGGTTTTTATCTTCCACCAACCAATGGTCTAAATCACATCTAGGAGCAATACTTGTGTTTGATTAGGAAACATGATAAAAATTAAATAATATAAAGAAGGAATCTAAGCGTGGGATTAACGGTGGACGTTCTAGGAAATACCTGTAGAAAGCCTAAATAAAAGGGAGTTTTGTAAAATTAGACCAAAAAATATAAACATTTGAAGTGCCTTTGAACAATAATTTTTCCAAAAATACCCCTAATTGTGAAATTGCAACCAAAGCCACTATAATGTATAAAAACTTTCAATTAGGTCCTCAAAGAAATATAGATCGAAAATCTTTAATAAATTTAAACCCAAATATTATACAAAATTTTATTGATCTAAAAAACGCAACAGAAATGAATTAAAATATTTAGAAGAAGATCTGAAAGGTTTCTTTACAGAATATTTAGATCCAAAATTAAAAAATAAAAATATTTCTATAGGTAATAGAACAATCAAAACAGAAAATGACATATATAAATTAATAATTAATCTGAGAAGAAGAATTAAAGAACTAAATATAATTATTGAAGAAAAAGTATTAATAAAAAATAGTGAATTTTATAAATTCTATTGTGATATTTTAAATACTTATGAATATTTTAATTGGCTCAAAAATCTTAACCCCTCCGCTGCACACTCCGACAAAATGGTATCAGAGCCATGTTACGAACCAAAAATAATGATGAATATATTAGATGAAGAAAATATAATTGAATAATTTTTGAAAAAAGTTGAAAAACATAAAAAACCTAGTTATCCCTATTTACCTAAAAACACCGCGAATGAAAGTTTTGATGATATACATAAAAGATTAGAAAATTTAGAACATAATCTACAAGTAGGAAATGCTTTATTAGATAAAAATCTTAAAGGAAAAGATAGGATTATAATTAATCCACCTCAAGATTTTAGGATAACACAAAAGAAAATTAATAAAGGGAAAAAAATGAAGAAAAACAATATATGATTACAGATGTAGAAGAAATAGAACAAAAATTCTTAGAATCTACAGGTGAAGAGTATGAAGAATATAAAAAATAGTTAGAAGAATTAACTAAAAAAATGAAAAATACAAAAATGAATACTAATCCATCTTCAAGTCAGAATATAAAAGTAGAATTCAGTAGTGATGAAGAACAAGATTATCCTTATGGTACCCCAATACCTAATACGGATGGTATTTACCAATATAGAAAAACACAGAAAAGATACACTGGAAATGTAAGAAAACAGTCCATAAAAGAAATAAACCCAATGAAATCTTATAATGAACCAATCCATACAATAGGAATATGGTTAGATCGAGACTGTGTAGATAAAAATAAAGCTATTGAAACATGGATGAAAAGTACAGATTTAACAATACAATTTAATAAATGAAAAACATATACAGCCTTTGGATTTATCGAACATATATTCAGAGGAATTGTTTCTGAATTGTGGAGAAAATTACCAGAAACTATTAAAGGAAGGATAAAGTATGGAGCAGGTAGAACTGAGGTATTAGATAATATGAATACTTTAAATGAACAAAATATACATGAGATATTAAAAAAATTTGAAAAAATTTTAAAAACAGAATTCTTATTTGATAGGTATGCTTCTAATGATGAAAAAAGAAAACAAGATGAATATAATCAAGGAATGATAGCAATGGAAAATTTAAAGATATGTGATATGTGTGAATTAGAAAGATACACTTGTAAATTTAAAGAAATATATTATATATTAAACCAAGGAGATTATCAGGAAAATAAATCTATGTTAAGATCTTATTTTACTAAGTTATCATTCCCATGAGGAATTAAGTTATTAAAAGAACATGAAAAATTATTACATCTAAGAGAAGAGGAATGAGTAAAAATAGATAGTTTTGGAAGTAGAATTGAATTTACAAAAAGAATGATAAACATATGGTGTAGAGAAGCTTTAGAAAATAAAAAAGCATATAAAATAAGAAAAAAATCATTATGTTGTTATAAAGACAATGACCAAATTGAACAATTTGGATGCCATAAGAAGAAATATAAACTGTATAAGAAATATAAAAGAAAATTCAAAAACTATAAAAAATTCAAGAAAAGAAATTTTAAACCATACAAAAAATATTTCAAGAAAAGAAATTGGAATAAGAAATTTAAACCAAGAAATATTAAAAAATGTAGATATTTTATTTGTAATGAAGAAGGATATATTGCTCCTCAATGTCCTAAAAAGAAAGATAGACAGAATATAAAAATTCTTAGAATTTATGAAAAATTCTAAGAATATAGTGATATAGAACCAATTGAATATTTTGAAGATCTAAGTAGTGAATGTAGTAGCATTTATGAATTAAATACATCCTCATCAGAATAAGATTATGATGAGATAGTATATATGAATCAAGAAATACAATAATCAGAACTAGAAATAGAAACAACTGAAGAAGTTGAAAACTCTATAGAAGGTATAAATCAAGAAATTACCTTTGATATTAAAAAATACACAGGAATCACTAAAAAGATATTAGACCTACAAGAAAAAGATGTATTCCATCAAGGATTCTTAAAAATTTTACCAAGAGTAAATAAAACAATTGCAAGTATGAATTATAAAGAAATGTCTATCAATATAGAAGATACTATAGGAAAAGCGAGGATTCCTATAATTACAAAAGAATGGGTAAAACAAAAGTTATCCAAAATTTCAGAAAACGTAAGAAACAAATTAAAATGTATTGAATTAGGAGGAGTCCAGATAATGGTAAAAAGATTATTTAGAGAAGGTATGAACATACCAATAGAAATATACTGTATGGA